GGTCAGGTCGTCTGTAGCAAGTAATCAGGGTAATTTTTAGTTTCTGCATTATGAAAATAACGTCTGGTGTAAAAACATAAGTGAACACGAGTAAGTTACCCCCAGTTCTCATTCTGAAGGGTCATCGCCGTTAGCAGCTTGGCGTCTTCCAGAACACTTTCAGTTCTATGTGAGCAGTTCCGTCACGTACTTGGGATCGAGTCGTGAATACTTTCGTCACAATGGCTTTTTCCCTCCTCGGTGTATCCGACGTAACTACATCAAAGACGATGTTTAATGACCGTCCTTGTTGACACTCGTTTCCGGCTCTCTAGGGAAGATTTCCAGGTGACACATGGCCGAATCAGTGGTCACGTGCGTGTTACGTGCCCGTGCCCAGTTGTATGGCTGCGTGGGAAGGCACCACAGTGCAATGCCGAGGCCACGTGGGCAGCCCAGGTTCAAGACTGGTCTGTCCTAAGCAGGTTGTGTGATGGCACCTGCCTGTGGCCTGAGCTGACCGGGAGTCTGGGCTAGAGAGGCATGACATGAGGAGACGCTGTCAAAAATGCCTCCCTCCCTCCCTCTCTCTTCCTTCCTCCCACATACTCTCAAAACCACGTAACATCCAGTAGTGCCAGACAGCCCTCAGAAATTCCTAGTGCACTTTCACTCTGACTTCCACAGGAGAGTGTGGGGCTGACGTGGGTGCGGTGGTGAGAACGGCCCTCGGCAGGCAGGCTCCGTGGGTGGTTAGACCCGGAGGGCCCCTTGTGGGACTCCCCACACACACACACACACAGTCTATCAGGCCTGTGTGCCCAGGGTCTGGTTTAACCCGGAGGGACCCCTACGGGACCCCCCACTGTGGTCACCAGGTACCCCGCGCCCAGGGTCTGGTTTAACCTGGAGGGACCGCTATGGGAACCCCCAGTGGGGTTCCCCAGGCACGTGTACCCAGGGTCTGGTTTAACCTGGAGGGACCCCTACGGGACCCCCCACTGGGGTTCCCCAGGCACGTGTGCCCAGGGTCCGGGCTGGTTCTGGCTGGCTCCGGTCAGGGTGCCGTGCATGAGCGTGTGCCTTTATCTGTCTCAGTCACTTGAGGAGTAAATAAGAAAACTTCAAAAAGGTCTTTAAAAAAAAAAGTTAATTGAGTCTTCACCTGGATTCAATAAAAATAAAGTGTCTGGAGCAGATATATTCCCTTTGCCGGGTGAGTTCTGGATGTGCCCATAAACCCTGCTAATCTGGCCAGAGCAGGGGGAGCCCAGTGAGTCCCCCTGGTGGCCCGCTCTTTGGGTATTGCTGTCACCCCAGAGGACCTGTCCAGCCTACACTGGTGCTTTAGGCTTAAACAGGGACTCTCTTTCAGGTGTGTGAATTGTGTTTAATCACTCTTCCTTTCTAGCTTATCTAATTACTTCCTCTTAATTACCTTCTGTGCTTGAAATGAGAGATGAAGATGAGAATCATCGTAAATAGGGTAATTGAGGTTAATTCATGGTGTAGACGGGGAGATGGGGCCATTGCTTTTCCCAGCTGCCCCACCTCCCCCTCGAAGGATAGATTATTTTTCTTTCTCTTCCTCTTTTCAGTGTTGGTACCTCGATACGAAGGTTAGATTCCAACGGAAGGCTAGTTAGGCTAGAAAGCATTAAGCCAGGTGACACTGAGACCAAATTCCCCGTCAGAGATACAAAACAGTCTCCCTCTAGTAGCAGGTCGGCTTCTTTGCAAAGCAGCTCCTGACCTAAATTCCAGCATTCTTACATAACTGCCGGCCCTCAGCCAAGCTGTCCAGAACAGTAGTGTCGCAGCAAGAGCATAGGTGAGACGTCCTTTCCTAGCAGACCTTAAAAACCTAACCGCAGCACATTATAGAGGACCCGGTTTCCTAGAAAGAATGGTTAGAAGAAAGCAAAGCCACTCTCTGAGGTCGGATTTTTTCTGGTTGTTTTTTTTGTTTGTTTTTTTGGGGTTTTTTTGAGAGAATTTTGCTATAGGGTGTGTGCGCTTGCCAGAGAGACAGACAGAAAGCGAGAAACCACCCTCGGGGGATGGCCATGCTGCAGTTCCTTCTCCATCCTCCTCTCGGGATCTTGGGCACACACGCACACGTGCCCGGCGTGAATTTGAGCCACCAGGTCTGGGACTTGAACCGCAGTCTACTACATGGGAGTCCAGCGACATAACCATTATACTAACTGCTGGTCCCTCTGTTTTGCCTCTTAAAGGAGATCTCATTCTGGATGTTGTCCCTGCAGAATGGGCCTTTCAGGGACTCCTGCTCTTTACACCTCCAAGGATGTTAGCCAGGCCGGCTTTGCATCCCTTTAGGCCCCTTCCCTGGAGAATGCAGACTCCATCCTAGCCTTTTAGGGCCAGCAGAACCCTGTCTCACTCCCTCCTGGGAACCCTGAGCCTCTCAAAAGAGTTTGTTGCAGAAACTACAGACCAACTCACCCAGACACAGGACAGGAGCCTGGACACCTGCCCTTCCACTCATTCTGACGCGCGCACGCTCGCTCCTCTCTGCAGCCGTGTCTGGGCCTGTCTCCCCGTACCCGGCTGTCCACGGATTTCCTGCCTGCAGCTGCTTGGCACCCAGTGCCACGGGCACTGCTCCCCACCGCAGTCCACTAAGAGGTCCACTAAGAGCCCAGGTTCCCAGCCTCTTCTCAGGCTTCGTCCTTCTAGCTTTTGCTGATGATTATGAAATGGAATGTCTGTCTGCAGAACTGGCTGGTCCCAAAGCTAAAATTGCTGTATTTTCTAACCTATTAAATGTGTCAAAATAGTGCTGTTCAACGAATACTGGATCCCAGCCTTATATTTAGTTAAAGTGTTTCTAGTAGCCATGTTTAAAAATCTTGAAATGTGAAATTTAATACTGTTACTTGATCTAGTATGTATAAAATGCCAAAAATATTATTTCTACATATAATCCATATGAAACAGCAGTTTTTCCATACTAAGTTTTAAAAATCGGTGTGTGTTTTTCCCACAGCACACCCCATTTCATGTTAGCCATGCCCCCATGCTCGGTGGCTGCGTGGCTGTGGCTGGTGTGTTCGACCGGCACGGCACGAGCACGTGCCTCCAGTGACTCGAGGCTCGCTGTGGGAGTGACTGGATGGAGACACTGTTGAAAAGGAACAGGTCGGGCCCACCCACAGTGGTGTGCGTAGCTAAGACGTTGCTCCGTGGGATGGGAGCACAGAGAGCTCTGAGTTCTCTTCTCAGCCCAACATGTAGGCTGGGTGCAGTGGCCGGGACCTGTAATCCCAGCAACTTACAAAACTGAGGCACGAGGACAGGACCGAGGGCCAGCCGGGCAGCACGGTGAGGACAGGACTGAGGGCCGCCGGACAGCACGGTGAGGACAGGACTGAGGGCCGGCTGGGCAGCACGGTGAGGACAGGACCGAAGTCTGGCCCGGGCAGCACCGTGAGGACAGGACTGAGGGCCGCCCGGCAGCACGGTGAGGACAGGACCGGAGGCCGCCCGGCAGCACGGTGAGGACAGGACCAAGGGCCGGCACCCTTCACCACCACACCACCTGCTGGCCTCTCGTCTTTTATTTTTATTTTTCATTTGTTAATTTTGCTAAAGGATGTGTATACTTGCCAGAGATAGAGAAAAAGAATGCATCCTCCCCACCAATGGGGCATGGCTACACTACAGTCACTTCTCCAGCCTGTCGGGATTTGGGCACACACATGCACACATGTACCTGGCATGTTTTTCAAACCAACAGGGCCAGGATTCAAACCATGTGGTTGGTTGGCCATGTGGGATCCAGCTCCCTTCATACCAGACCTTGAGACTCGCCAAGACTCTGTCTTTAAGAGATAGAAGAGGGCCAGTAGATGGCGTGGTAGTTAAGGTGCTAGACTCCCTTCTGGCCAACCGCGGATCAAGTCCTGGACCTGGTGACCTGCTTTCTCACTTTCTCTGCTCTTGCTCTGTGTGTGTGTGTGTGATCTAGTTAAAAGTAGTAATAGGAAATGGCATTGAATAAATGATTTTTAAAAGAAAAAACGATTAACCGCCCTTGTGGTTATGATCTTTCTCCTACTTACTAACAGATCTGGACTTGTACTCTCTTCATGTTTAGGTTGATTTGTGGGTTTTAGTGTTTCGAGTTTGTTTTGTTTTACTAAGGGACATGTGCACTTGCCAGAGACAGACAGACGGAGAGAAGGAAAGTGAGAAATCACCCCCGTGGGAGGGTGGCCATACCTCATTGCCTTTCCTCCAGTCTCTTCGGAACCGTGGGCATGCGCACATAGTGCCCAGCGTGATTTTCTCTATTGGCCCTGAATAAAAGTAATTAAATGTGGACTCCACTCTCTCGACAGTTGTCAGGCATAAGCTTTGCAGATTTCTGGCACCTGTCCTTTATTCTTTACTTTAATAAGGTCCCACAAAGGTTCTCTAAAATATTTCAGTGTTCATCCCAGCATCCGAGACCGTCTGTGGGAGTGTCTGCCATCCCGGAAGCTCAGCAGGGTCGCCGCCCAGGGCCCACACAGGGAATTCGCACCTGTGCAGCTCAGGCCGCATCGACTCACCCGCAGGGCCTGACTCTGTCACGTTCTGAGGTGGACGAGAACCAGAATGGTCCCGTCCGGAAGAGAGCTCCTGGGAGGCCAGGCACTGGAGAAGGGCAGGAGGCCACGAGAGGATGTGCGCTGTTCTGGGGAGTACTCCTCGATGTTCAGGCCACCAAGCCCAGGGCCGCACGTGTGCGGAGCAGGCCCAGGGAGCAGCGCCCGCTCTCGGGGTGAGGCTGGGAGGAGGGCAGACCTGCCCACGTGGAAACACGACGCATGCATGGGCACCTTTTCTGTTGCCGGAGGTGCTACAGGAGGCAAGGCGGCTGTGTGTGTGTGTGTGTCTGTCTGTCTGTCTGTCTGTCTGTGGAGCTTGAGTGTGGGCAGCAGCTGAGGGCTGTGTGCCTTCCAGCCCCGAGAGCCTGTCCTGGCATCACTTTTCTCCCCTTCCTCTCCCTGCAGCTGGAACAGCAGAGGCAGCAGCTGCTTACTGAGCGCCAGAACTTCCACATGGAGCAGCTCAAGTACGCAGAGTTGCGAGCCCGACAGCAAATGGAACAGCAGCAGCACGGCCAGAACCCCCAGCAGGCGCACCAGCACTCGGGGGGACCGGGCCTGGCCCCCCTCGGCGCGGCGGGCCACCCTGGCATGATGCCCCATCAGCAGCCCCCTCCCTACCCTCTGATGCACCACCAGATGCCACCAGCTCATCCAGCCCAGCCAGGTGAGAGCAGTCGTGCTCGTCCCAGTACAGGGATCTGAGGGCCACCCGCTGAGGTGGTGGTTCTGATGGGGACTGTGCGGAATGTCCATTGTCACCTAGAAATTGCTGGCCTGGGAGCTGTGGTCTGACCGCCTGTTCAGCCTGCCTTAATGTCTTTCCAGTCCTTGTGCGTGCAGCCTTTTCTGGGCAGGTTGGCCACCAGACGGCGTGTATCTCGGGTCCCTAACTACCCGGGAGCATTCTGCACTTTCGCAGAGTTCTAAAGATACAAACACCCAGAAAGAATGCCACAGGGATCCAGCTTCAACAGCCATCACCTTTTTGCCATTTTTTAACTTTTTGTAATGGAAATCTAGCTATAGACAAAGGTAAACACGAGGTTGTCAGGACGGTCATGACTGACTGTGACATTTTTCCATGCAAAAATGCATCGTGACTTCCCGACGACCCCATGGGGTCCCTCTCATGGCAGCTCCAGATCGTGGCTCTGGCAGGCTGCCCCAAGGAGTCGCTGACACGCACCAGCACCTGTGTGATGTTCATCTCCGTGTACCCTGCCTGTCAGCCCACGTCCGCCGCCGGGGTCTAGCCCCAGCCTGTATTTCCTTCAGGCATTTAGGACTGTCGACATGTCTTCTCTCTACTTCTGCTCTTTTCTTTTCTTGACTTTTTTTTTTTTTTTTTGAAGAGGTTTTTGCTATAGGGCGGGTGCACTCCCTA